TTCAATTATAGTTATGTCTGTTCCTATGAGCATACATTTATTTAATTTAAATATATAACATTTCTATATAATAAAAATGGAATTATTTTAATGACTGAAATGTCCATTGCCTGAATAGGCTCCATAAATACCAAAATGTTGCGGCATGGTGGCGCGTTAGTTGGCACTGTTGCCTCGCACCACTGGGACCAACGTTAGTGTCCACCATGGCTCCATGTGCGTGGCGTTTGCATGTTCTCTTTGTGTCATATAAGGTGAACGGGAATTCCCCGTAGGTGTGAGTGAATGGTGTGTGTGTGTGTGTGTGTGTGTGTGTGTGTGTGTGTGTGCGCGCGCCTTACGATGCGTTGCCACTCCACTCAGTGAATTAGCAGATTGATTTTGGTGTCACGGTTAATGCGTGCACATCTTCATGTTGCAAAATTATACTGTTTTATACTGGTTTACGGGAAATTAAGCTGTGGCGCCTGCAGCTTCTGGGAAAAGACACCTACCAAATTTGGGGCGAAATGTGGCTCAGGGATTGGAATCATGGCTAACATTCTCTGCTGTAGGGACATCGACAGTAATATGTAGTTTTGGACAAAGGCATCTAGTAAATATGCAGATTTGCGAGTAGCATGAAATATTATCTACATTTGCTAGACTGTATGAGGGAGAAAATAATGGTTATGGGTTCAGAGTCAACAGCCGTGTTGTCACTAAGGGTCAATAAAGTTGAATTTGATCATTAGATTAGATCAAATTCAACTTTATTGTCATTGCGCAAAGTACAAGTACTCACTTGTATAATTCTACCTATTGTATAATGCGGCCAAATTGAGGCGCATGTTTACGATGGTTTACGGTAGCAGGAAGTTCCTCCAGAGCTTCTGCCATCGCCGCCCGGAGCTGCTCTGGTCACGCCTCACCCCGGTAACCTCGCATGCGTCTCGCCTGTGTTCCTTGAAGGGTGACCTTCTCTGCCACTCTCCTTGAAAGGCGTGCTTTTGTTTTTACTTTTCTTTTTAGATAGTCGATATGGCAGGCGTGGCGGGCGTAGATAGCCCGGGGATGCGCTGGGTATCGCTGTGACAAGGGGCAGATCTCGGCGGCCAGCTGTGGCGCTGCTGCGGGCAGATAATGCTCGGCAAACTGTCGGGAGAGCAAACGGAGACCCGCCGATACCATCAGTGCGGCATTAAGCTGTGGCTGTAAATAAATGTGCATCCTGTGTTGCTGTTGCTCGGATTACTTTTAAAGAGACTTTTCAGCATTTTGGGCGCACGGTAGTTACCATGAGCTCGGGAATCCTTGTGGGCTCGGCGATATGGCAGGACAGCAGCCGGCGTGTGGCTCACAGGCTGACGCCGCTGCTGCGGGGGACGCGCTTTGCTTCTGTAGCCGCCAGCCTCGGAGCACATCCATGGCCGGCACCGGGGCCCCGGACTCCTCTCAGGTTAAGGATCGGGGGCCGAGCCGCTGGAAGCGTGTCCGGGGTGCTGTCGGTGTCCCGCCCGGGTGCCGGCCTCCAGTGGCACAGGCTGACAGCCCCGTCACCTTTCTGGCTTTCCGCCTGCTTCTACGGCACATCAGCCAGACAGGCGCTGGCGGGGCAGCAGGAGCAGAAGAAAGGGGACGTCAGAAGTCAGCCGGCGGTGCAGGCGAGCGCAAAGATCAGCCGGTTACCCTCCGACGACCTCCGCAGGATCCTGCGGCTCGCCTATCCGGAGCGCTGGAGGCTGGCAGGTCGGCTCTCCTCACGGTCACACCGGGCCCCTTACAGCGCTTTTGCTTTCCTGTTCAGTGTACTCTGGTGGTTAGGTGTAATACTCATTATTCTGGTATGTAATCGTTAGTTTTAATATGTAAAGCATGCATATTGCTATAAATGGACATTGTTTTTTACTCTTTTCCCCAGCGTCTGTGAGCTTCCTCCTCGTCTCCAGCACGGTCACTATGTCAGCACCCTTCTTCTTGGGCCGGGTGATCGACAGCATCTCTACGAGCTCTGGGACAGAATTCAATGCCTCGCTCACGTCCCTCTGTGCCATGCTGACCGGGGTCTTCCTCATGGGGGCTGCCGCCAACGCCGCCAGGGTCTATCTCATGCAGATCTCCGGTGAGCCCCCGCTACAGACGCGCCCCCAGCTCACCCGGTGTTTTGACAGGGGCTCGGCACCAATGTTTTTACTTCTAAGAGCTCCGTCTGTGTTAGTCTAGTATGCATTACAATTAAAACAAATTTAAATCGTTTAGAAATTTAAGGTCGGCTGTGTCCTGTACAGTGAACACGGCCTGTATGATTGTAACTGATTCTTAATTTCAAGTTTATATGCCTGTTTTTTATATAGGTCTATGTGTGTAAATGAAGCTTGTATCGCTGTCTTTCCTGACACAAACTGACCGTAACGAAACTTGTCTTGTCTGTGGTAATTTTTCCAGGAGCGCAGATTGTGAGAAACTTACGCGAATCCCTTTTTTCCTCGATTTTGAGGCAGGAGTTGGGCTTCTTCGACGCGACGCGCACCGGCGAGCTCGTTAACCGCCTGTCGGCTGACACGACGCTCGTAGGGCGCTCTGTCACCGACAATCTCTCCGACGGGCTCCGAGCCGTCGCCCAGGCAACGGCAGGAGTCGGCATGATGGTGAATTTTTAGAGTATTAGCCCAAGGCCGTGAATGCCCTTTGTTTATTTACCATTTAGTTATATTTTTCATTAACAAAAATTTGCTATTCATATTTTTACACATCCCACCCATATATTTGACATCATTGGCTTGCTGGATTGGCTTGTAAGAAACCTGAATTTGTTTTATTAAACAGTGGGGTTCCCCAATTATTCCTCACTCTTGGCAGATGCAGCAGTTAATTACTCGTCTAGCCTTGCAGAAATTCCAGGGCTTCCTTGTGGAAATCCCCAGGACTCTTGTGTATAGTTTCTCTTTCACATTTCTTAGTCAGGTAAATAGAGCAGATGACATTTCCTTCGATTTGTTTATAAACAGAGTAAAATACTTTAAGATCCACTGGTAAAACTGGTATTTCACCATGCGATTTTAGTCACATGAGAGGAAAAGTTCATTTTAAACATGAAATACTACTAATATATCTGGACACAGTGCTGATGTGTCTGGTACACCTTCCGGTTCTTTGACGAGCCCTCACCGTGCTCTGGGTTTTAACTCGCATCTCCTTCCCCGTCCTCCTCCTCCCCCAGTTTTACGTCTCCCCCAGTTTGGCTTCTTTCGTGTTGATGATAGTGCCCCCGGTGGCCTTGCTGGCTGTGGTGTACGGGAGGTACCTGCGCTCCCTCTCCAAGCGCACGCAGGACGCCCTGGCAGATGCCACGCAGGTCAGGAGGAGCAGGCTGCCGCCGTCCTGCACTGTAACAGTGTCGATCCCGGCCCCCGGCAGGATTAACGTGTGCCCCCGCCCCCACAGCTGGCCGAGGAGCGAATCGGCAACCTGAGGACGGTGCGTGCCTTCGGGAAGGAGCTGGCTGAGGTGGAGAAGTACGGCGAGAAGGTGGAGCACGTCCTGCACCTGCTCAGGAAGGATGCTTTGATGCGGGGGGGCTTCTTCGGAATGGTACGTCCCGGAAACGCCCTTCTGTGACAGTGAGAGTCTCCTTGTCTAATTAATAATTATATATCATCAAATAACTCGCCTGAAGCAGTTGTTGTTCCATAAATGTCTGGCTCACTGTCCTTAGATAACCGAGCAGGTTTGAGTCGTTGGCATCCTAACATCTGTTTAAAGTGGATCGTTTGTACAAATCACTGTTTCATGTTCACCACGACCCTGTACAGCAGTGTTTCCCAGTCTGGCCCTTGTGGTCCCACAGACGGTCCACATTTTTGCTCCCTTCCAGCTCCCAGTATGTGGGCTGTCTGGGAAGGAGCAAAAACATGGACCTGAGGGCCGGATTGGGAAACACTGCTGTACAGGATAAGCGATGTGGATGATGTATAAGCAGGTAGCGGCACATGTGTGGCCGAGCTCCCAGTGCTCAGATGTAGGTCTGTGTCCCTGCAGACCGGCCTGAGTGGGAATCTGATGATCCTGATGGTGCTGTACAAAGGCGGCCTCCTTATGGGCAGTGAGAACCTCACCATGGGCGAGCTCTCCGCCTTCCTGATGTACTCCTTTTGGGTGGGAGTCAGCGTGGCAGGTACCCCCCCTCCCCGGCGCCCCCCCGGATATACAGACCTTTCACAAATAGTACGATGTTTAAGTTGGCTATCAGTGGGTTAGGACGCTGTGTCTGTAGTGAGAAGGTCAGGGGTTCAAAACAAGGCCTTAACCCCGCCCCCCATTTTCTCCAGGGATCACAGAGTGTCACCTGACACCCAGCAGTCTGGTTGGGGTGGCTGTTTGGATCCTTTGTGCCACTGGGCCTGTGTTTGTGCTTCTGCAGGTCTCAGCTCGTTCTACTCGGAGCTGATGAAGGGTTTTGGAGCCGGATCTCGCCTCTGGGAGCTTCTGGATAGAAAGCCTGAGTTTTCCATCAACGGTGAGACACATGTCAGCGCCTGTGTTTGTCTAATACACAGTGATTGGTTAGCAGCACCACACATCAGTCTCTCAATCGCTGTTAGCTTGAGCGAACTACTAACAAGGACTAACCTGTTTGACTAGTTCCTTGGTCAGACCTCAACAAAGACCCAGTAGTTTTGGGTTTACATGTTTTCAAACTGGCCGCCTATCAAATCTCAGTCCAGCTAGGTTCTTCATAAAAAGGTTTTACCTTGGAGAGTCAGCCAGTGGTCCTGACTGTGACCCCCCCCCAACCGCAGAGGGTGTGGAGCTGAGGCTGGAGCAGCTGCGGGGGGAGCTGGAGTTCCGTGACGTGTCCTTCGCCTACCCCACCCGCAGGGACGCGCCCATCTTCCAGCACCTGGACCTGGCGGTTCCGGCCGGCTCGGTCATGGCGGTGGTGGGCTCCAGCGGCACGGGGAAGTCCACCCTGGTGTCCTTGCTGCTCAGGCTCTACGACACCGACTCGGGTGAGGCTCTGGGGACATCATCATCTCTGAAGCAACATCACCATCGTCATCGTCATCAGGAGCGCTGGCAGCAGCAATCCCATGCGGACTAGTCCATGAGTTCAGGTTCTGGGGGGGTGGGACACAGGGGCTGCAGTTACTCTTGTACCTGAACACACAAGTGTTAAGTTGGTGTTAAGGCACTTAAGAGCTAGTGACCTTGTAAATATGTGGGCTACACCTCAAAAGCCCCGTACCACGGTAAACGTGAGTGTGGAGTAAAGCTCTTGCTATTCTCACAGGATCGATCACCATCGATGGCCACGATATCCGAGACCTGAGTCCCTATTGGCTGAGAAAGCATATTGGCACCGTCAGTCAGGTGAGTCTGGAGTGTGTTCCCACAGATACCGTGTTGCCATGGTGACCTCCAGCTGAATGCCGACTCGGCTTCCTGCAGGAGCCGGTGCTGTTCTCCTGCTCTGTCGCGGAGAACATCGCGTATGGGGCACCGGACCCCAGCCTGGTGACGGCCGAGGAGATCCACCAGGCCGCCCGCATGGCCAATGCCCACGACTTCGTCCAGGACTTTCCCCTGGGCTTCGACACCGTGGTGGGTGAGAAGGGCGTGCTGCTCTCAGGTGGGTCATGTTGCCATGGTTTCCTCTGGGGGGTGAGAAGGGCGTGTTGCTCTCAGGTGGGTCATGTTGCCATGGTTTCCTCTGGGGGGGCGGGGCTTATGTTGTACACATTCTCCTGTGTCGTTATACCAATAATCCCAAACTCCGCAGTGATTTGGTGAACCTGAAGGCACCGGAAATGAAAAGTCTAAAAACCTTCATGAACCTTTAAAGATGCTGAAACTCTCGCTATGTGGCTGAACCATTGGAGAGAAAATCACTTACACTCTTAATGCCTTGAATCTGGGACATTTAAGAACGCAGACGCGTGAGCTGTATGTTTAAGGTCGAGCTCCCTAGGCGGCTCTCCTGTTGTACCCTTAGGTGATAATTACCCAGCAGGATAACAGCTGACCGCTTTCGTTTCAGGGGGTCAGAAGCAGAGGATTGCTATTGCCCGAGCTTTGCTTAAGGTAGACCTGGAGAAGCACTCGCTCTCGTCCTCTATGCTGATGTCTGAAGCTCATGAGTCGTGTTGATCGATTTCTGGTTTTTTGTGTTGCGCAGAATCCTAAGATTCTCCTGCTGGATGAAGCTACCAGGTAACGTTCCTGTCTCTCCTGTGTCTGCTCATACCCTATGAGGAAGCCGCATGCTGTCACCCAAGATGTGCACCCCCACGCGGCCGCCCCCCCGCAGCCTCCCCCACGCGGCCTCCCCCCCGCGGCCGCCCCCCGCTTCCCCCACACTGGTTCTGTTGTTGTCGTCACCTTGAGCAGAGTATAAAGCTGTTTCTTTGATGTGACCCCCCCCAGCGCCCTGGACTCGGAGAATGAGCTGCTGGTGCAGGAGGCCCTGGAGCGGCTGATGCATGGGCGCACGGTGCTCATCATCGCCCACCGCCTGTCGACCATCCAGAGTGCCGACGCCGTGGCGGTTCTGGGCCAGCGGCGCGTGCTGGAGTGCGGACCCCGGGTCCAGCTGCTGGCCGACCCACATGGCCACTTCAGCAGGCTGATGGAGAGGCAGGCGTTGCTGCAGAACGGCCACAAGCAGGCGCTGTATGAGTAGGAGCCCCCCCCGGCCCAGGGTAGCCCCCCCCATCCATTTCTCCACAGTAACATCAGGCTCTTTTCGACATTTTGTACTATTTCTGCTTTTTGTACTTGCTGGAAAAACTTGAAGTGGATTATCATTTTTTAATGTTTATTAGTAGTTTATTTTTTTAAAGGTGTTTTCAGGGAGGGCACCTTTAAGGGGGCTTCCCTCATTCTCCTGTACAGATCTCTAAATGACCTGCCCTCCCATGACTCTTACATACAGTCTGGCGACCGGAGAGACAGATGACGCACATCTGCTATTGGGACGTAGGCCTCCACCCAGCATGGGGGGGGGGGTGGGTTGGAGTGTGTTAATCTCACTGCTAACGAGGTGCCATTAACGTAGCAGACACTGTGTTAATCTCACTGGTAACGAGGTGCCATTAACGTAGCAGACACTGTGTTAATCTCACTGGTAACGAGGCGCCACTAATATGGCAAACAGCACCTTCAGGATGGACTCGGGATGCCATATTGAGAATAAAATCTCACTGTGCTCTCAGGTCAGAGGTCAGGCAGCCCCCCCCCCGGCTTTTGCCACCATTCATTTTCTAAAGACTAATTAGCGTTTCTTTCATGCTCTTCTGATACCTGTTAGGTTCCGATTGTTTCAGGGCTCTTACTTTCTGACTCACTCCATCTGCGCCAAAGCCGCCGACGCCGACGTGCTGGGGTGGGACATGCAGCCGGTGTCCAAAGGAGCCCCGAATAGGACTGTTTGTGTCACATTTATCACCCAGGAGGGGGGTCGCGCCCATGTCCAGCAGCTGCTCCTCGTGCCGGCCCATAAATTAGGAGTGAACCCCAGTTGAAGGCATTAATTACGTCCCATAAATGATTGGACAGAGGACACTTTAAACCTCATGCGATCTGACGCACTGAGTTTTGGACTTAAGTGAGACGTGGACGGCCCAGTCAGGGCTGATGAGGGGTCGGAACAGGGGGCCTTGCTGGGTGGGTTTCATTCCAGATTTAAAGACTGGACCGGCACTGAGAACCATAAAACGTGATCGGACTGCTGCTGCTCCACTGCGGAGATCTGATCGCCGTGGTCGGGAACCAAAAATGCTGTCACTCCTGCAGAGGAATGTTTATGATTTATAATGTTTTACTAAAGTTAAGAATGTGCTTTTCAAATTTCAGCTATTTCACAGTAAAAGGCTGTATTTGGAAAAAAAGTTACTGCGGTTGACAAATGTCTATTTTTAAGCTGAATTACGATATGTGGAAGATGATTATTTACGGAATAAAGTTAATTTAAAGCAAAGATCTATTTAACAAACATAAGAGGAACAGGGAAAAAGTTGCCTTTGTATTTTGTAAAAATGCGTTTGTAATGAGACCGTTTCGTTTGCCAGGGTGATGGTTTTTGCTGCTTGGGTTAATGATAGACAAGAGACTTAAACCGAAGATATAAATCTGACTTTTCTTTAAACTCCTTACATTTTTAAGTCAATGTATAACATATATCTATCTTAGTGATAGTTAATCAACTAATAAAATTTGGAAGTATAATTGTTGGCTACGCATTGTGTTTTCAGAAATGTTTGTTTTATGTTACTAAAAGATCTCAACATCTTACGTGAAAAATTCTTACCCACGACTGGTCATTGATCCGGTTAGCCTGTTATTTGTTGTTTGTGTTTAAACACTAGAGGGTGCTGTAACTTTTCCAAAAACGACCGATACTAGTCACATACAGGTGTAGAAAACGACGCCTGTTTAATTTTGATGCCATTTTTAATGGTTACCTTTGCAGAAATATGTTAGTGACTGTTAACAGCTGCTTGGTCTGTTTTTGCCTGACCCAAAACTCTCAAATGAAGGTTTTATATACATTTTTATCAGCTACAATAAAGGACGATCGTGGCTTTACTGAAATATGAGGCGCTTGACTTTGGAAGCTGTATGACTAGTTATGTAACTCTTGTTCTTTTTGGTAATTCAGATCAGACGTCTTGCATCAAAATCACATGGGTGCAGGATGACCAATCCAGTTGTGGAACACGAGTAATGCCAAAGAGTTAATGCCTACTATTGGTTGAATCTCCTGCCCATTATCCATCAAATATAGTGATTGGCTGAACCTGGCACGTTGCTGCAGTTCTGTCTATCCGCATTGTAGGTGTAGTCAGCATGCTTTCCGCTTTCATGTTAATTTAGTGTGAACGGATAACTTTTGTAATGAAACGACTTTGATGCAATGTTGGATATCCACCACAAGGGGGCTGCAGTTTTTTTTTTCTGAAGCTGTGAACTGGTAACACAACACTGAAACTATTCGCAAGTTCAGTAATCTATATTAAGACGGTCTAAATACAATATCAAGCTGCTTCTCCTGTTTTGTTGAAGGACACAGTTCTTAGACTAAAAGTGCCAACTCTGTCATTGAACTGATTTACATTTTCATCTTTCTTTGATATTGGCTAACCTCACGTTCCCCAAATAGATGTTCCGGCCTGCACCGCCGTGACTTCAGAAGCACAGATATCCATACAGCAGTACGCCACGGTACAAATCCCAGGCCGTCGCGAGGGACCCTGGGGGAGCAGAGGTCTGCCAGGGGTAGTATGGGGACAAGGTCTCAAATGGGGGCCATACTTTTCCTTCCGTGGCAGTCTTTGTGTCACCAGGAGAGAGATGGCCTCCATCCAGGGAGCCTCCCACCGAGGTCAAAAATCACCCAGAGGTACATATGAGGACTGAGTCATGAGCCCCCACCCATACAAAAATACTGGCTCAATTAGCCAATCACATCACAGCTCCATCAAACATAGACTTTGTACGGCTTTTGAATATGTTATGAAAGTCCATTTGTAAAATATATGGTAGGGCAGATGATGAGGTAAATCTAACAGGGTCAAGGGGACTGGTCGTCCTCAAGAAGGACAAGATTAACCAATGAAATATTTATGGTGCTGGGACAGCACTGCCCCCCCCCCCCAATATGTGCAGTCAGCCATGTGCCTCAAATGGTCTGAAGACAGAAAAGCTCAGATGTATGCTAAATGTTATGCTTAAACAGCATATTTTACTAATAAATAAGAAAGAAACAAGATTTGATAAGCAGTGAGCAGGCGTGATAGAACAGGGTCCTCTGATAGGAGCCGGGGGAGGTGTCGGTCAGGTCTGTGAGGCCACCCCGCTCCCCGCAGACCCCCCCGGGTGGTGGTGCTGATCCTGTCACTCATGTTGGGGATGTGTGGGTTATATATAGCCTCTGCCTGTTGTGAAAGCCATCTGTGAGCGTTAGCGCTTAGCGTCCCCCAGTCCTCCTCCTCTGACATCCCTTATTTTGAGTCGCCGTCGTCCCTGACAGCTGCTTCCACTGAAAAGGCTTCCCTGTTCGCAAGGGATTCTGGGTAAAAGGGGGCCGCTAGGATTCCGTTATACGTGTGACTGCGAGAAGTCAACAAGGCCAGCAGGGATACACACAGCATGGGCCGCAAGTGTCCCTTCAGTTTGGGCAGAGAGTGTGTGTGTGTGAGAGAGAGAGAGAGAGAGAGAGAGAGAGAGAGAGTGTGTGTGTGTGTGTGTGTGTGCGAGAGAGAGAGAGTGGGCACAGATGTCAGGTGTTACATACCTCACCTCACAAATGACATTCTGTCTTTTAGATTCCAGAGTTGGTATCTATCAGGCCGGGCTTTGAATGCACAGAATGAAATCTCTTCATTTGCGTCTTGAGTTACTAATCAAGGGACTGACAGGCTTATTAAATAAAACAAACAGCTGGCAGCATTCTGAGTGTGTAAGGGTTGTACTAACCCTCGACTGACACGGGGGTGCTCCCACATCCTATCAATGCCATACTGACACTGCTCTGTGGTCTAATCGGGGGACAAGGTCTACTCAGACTTATTTGGAGACACAGAGTTGGAATGAGATGATGTCACCAAGGTAACCTATTAATGGTAAACAGTGTCATCAAAACTTTATGGCCACCCATTGGCTGAGCACCTCTGCACCACATCACTCTAACAGGACATAGACAATGTCCATCCCAGCGTGGATTGCTAGGCAACTTCCTCTCTTGCCAGCACGTCACATTGTAGCTGGATACCTACTGGACCATTTAGGTCTGAGTGAGGTACAACAACAGTTCCTTGTTACGAGATCCACAGCCGGGGAATAATTCAGAGAAACACATAAAGCAAGAGAGATTATAGCAACCTTATATATCATCTAATAAGTGTAAAACCATATTACACAGAGAACTACTTTCCAGAGTAAAGGGTGACCCATCAGCCCTGTCCTTTTTAAAATATACAAGAGCTACTCGCACGTTGCTATAACAACAAGCTGACAGCCAGTCAGAAACAGGCAAGCCATTTGTCATCAGCTGTTCCCAGCCACAGCTGCCAGTTTTTCGAGCAGCTGAGCGAAGGCACACAGACTCTCCCAGCTGCTCTGTCCTGAACATAAGCTCTGGTTTGCCGTAGAATCGGCCCTGTGCTACCAGAAGCTGAATTACCCAGAATTACTCCCGGGTGGTGATTGCTTAGCAGCGCAAAGAGAGCGCTTTGTGGATTATGGTGTCATTTTTTACTAAGCCTTTTATACACCTATAAGAATACGGGGCTGTTTTTCCTGGAACCCCCAGCATCACCCCAAAGCCGGAAAACCCGCCGAATCCATCTTTAAATTCCTGTGGCGTCCAGCATCCCATCCAGGGCGCCCAGCAACGTCCTGATACAGGCTCCAAGTTCACTGCCACCCATATAATGCAATTTACATTTTCCAAATAAGATATTTACATTTATCTCTAAATACTCATTCAATCCATTTAAACCGACTGCAAGAACTAAGAAATTGGTTCTCACCTAAGGTTCTGTGAATTACAACCTTTTCCCCGGTGCAAAAAAAAAACAACATTAGCCATAGAAATCCATTTTCTGTCTAGATTTAATTATTATTTGAAATTATTATTCTTAACATTCCTACAGAAAAATCTAACGTTAGAATGGTGCATCTTTGTCTACCGACTCATACTCATCAGACGTTTATCGGTATATTCCTTGGAAAAGATATTTTGTATCTTCAAAGCACGAATCGGATGTGAAAGAAACTTCCCGTAGCGCTCAACAACACATAGGCTACAGGCTGCAGTGAAAGATTCCCGCAAGGCAAATCATTTTTATTATAAAAGCTTTAACTTAACTAAACAGAAAATAATTACAATAAATCAAATCGTTCCTTTTGAGGCTGCATTTTGTTCCGTATGCGGGTCAATTTCCAAGTACTATTTCAGGAACAAAAACATAATAAAGTAATCCTGAATGGACTCCTGCTTCGGTGCCTCCCTGAATGAAAGTACTGCTGGACACACTTGGTGTCCCGATCTCACACCGTCCCTCGCGCGGTGACACTCAAGGCGCGGCGAGTCTCCGTCAGCAGCTCGCATCCCTCCGGCGCGCTGGGAGCAGATGGCTGCCGCGTCTTCGCCTTTCTAAAATAGACAAGGAGGGCTAAATTAAGGAGGTCCACAATAAATTTATCTTTTATGGATTTCTCTGACGCCCTTATATGGGTATTTTTAGGTCGAAAATGGGTGCATCCTTTCCTTTTTACAACTCGCAATTACCAGCTGCGTCTTTATGTTATACAGCTTTGCTGGATAAACAGTGTTTAACTTCCTTAGAAATGGGACATTGTAGTGTTTCGCTAGTCATGGTTTGGGCTGATTTCAAACAACACAGTTGGTGAAAACATTACAGTGGTTTCTTGGAGAAATGCAAGGATCTTGCTCATTAGGTGAAGTACAAAACACGTCTTGTCTGAAATAAAAATAATTTACCTCGCCCGACGTACACAAAGCAAGCAGAGGCAATTCATTGTGACCTTTATAACGAAGTTATATAGTAGGATATTCTCATGCCGAGAAATCTCCGTTTTTTTCTCGTATTAGTAGGCTATATAAAAAAATTAAGTGGAACCAAAACAAATCTGCACTCCACGTATTAAATTGAGTTTTAGGAGACACAGTTGAAAAGGGGTCTGTTAATTAAATGGAGTTATCCCGTGGGAAGTTGTGAACTGACTCCCAAACCAGAATTGGCTGAGATCTGTTTGCTGCCACCTGACGCTATCAGCCTCACACATTCACAAACCGGAGTTTCACTGATAAATATGGAGGTTAGACATATCACGTAATACCCCCCAGCCCCGACACCCGCTCCCTTCACTGACTGAGGCCATGCAGGACTATGCGCAAGGCGTTCGTGCGGAGAAGACTGCGTGCGGTCTGTGGGCAGCAAGGACTATAAAACATGAACAAATATGTGACGTGCTTCATATATATCGTGAAAAAATCAGCTTCATACAAGAGAAAGTGTCAACACTCACTTGAGTTCGAGCATCCTACTAATAAATATGCCATATGCAATTTGTCGCAACGGCAAGCGAGAATAATACAATACAATAATACAAATTGTGTCGGAAATAAGGTATTCTCCGAGCAGTACTGAAATATTTACCCCCACATAAATACGCAAGCCAGCAAAATTCCCACGTACATCTCCGGTACAGACGCGCGTATCTTCCTTACGCGTAATTTCAAATCTCATCTAACCCTATGGTAGCAAACAGAAGAGCCAGCCCACCAGATTTAACCCGTTGATATAAGAAGTAAAGTAGATTATTAAAATAATAAATAAAAAAGAAAGAAATGAACTGCCTTCTTCTGTTAAGATGCGTTGTTGGTAATTTTCCTTATCTACACATCATAGGTGAAATACCAAAACAAACCGCTCGTTCTGATAAGGAAAAAGTTGGAGGGGGGTGTGTTGTATGCGGTAGCTGCAACTGTCTGGTGCACCATGAAAGAGCAAGACAGGCAAGGAGGGTAGGGGGTCTCCATATACGGCCCACGTCGGGACTAGCGCTCCATATATGGATGGCCACGCGCACTTCGAACCCGGGCGCCCCACCGCCTACATGGGAAGCACCCTGCGCTCACCCTCCAAGAACCAAATATGGATGAAGGCTGGGAGAAATTCCAGGGGAATACATAGGCATTCTCAACGTTTAGTAAGGAATAACGCCGAAAGCCGTGAGTATATAAGCTTCCCCGGGATCAGGGTGTCACTGTAGCTGGAACCAGCAGCGGTTGCGTTCTGCACTCTGAGCTTCGTCTAGGACAGGAACCACCTAAGGTAAGAATACCGGCATGGACGGCAGGCAGCTAAACGGACCGGCACTCAGCTAAGCGGACCGCCACTCAGCACAACACAAGGACCGGATTTTGCTATTTTTTTCTATTGAAGATTTTTTTTTTTCGTGATATTATCCTTGGACACAATTAAATAATTATAAGTCAATAAGAAAAGGAATAACATTGCAGTTAGACTTATCAGTTAAACTTTGTTTATTAATATCTTTTACATTTGGGGAACTAGAGTGGTTTTAGGGCTTAAATTATGATGTTCTGGGACGCGCAAGACGACCAATTAACAACTAATTTAGGATTTAAACAAGAACAATAAATTATTCAATAAAGTATATCTTATCTCGAAGTACTATTATAGGCAAATATAGAAATTATATTTTCGAGTTGTTAGTGTATGCTGTATGCAAATATTACTAACAAATTGATTTTAGGTTATACTACTGACTATGATACATGATTACAGTACAACTTTGAATAATAGCATTGTCACACACAAATCTAACTAAGACACAACTGGAAGACAAATTGTGACTGAAGTACAGTTATTCTAAACAATCTAAGCTGCAAAGCAAAAGCTTTCACCGCACATTATCGAACTGGCGATGTTAGTGTAAACAATCTAGACTTTAACAAGTCAGGAGACGAATGTCGCAACAGCAATAACAAATTATCCGCCAGAACGGTACTAAAGAACAGGTGGATGTAAAAACGATTAGGGACTGATAACTAAAACATGCGCGCATCCAAAACAGAGATCCTGACGTCGGCAGCATTAGTACTTGGAATTTTGGTAACTTTAACCAACTTATAAGGACATTTTTAGTATCCTCACCGGTGCTTCTTGTGCATCGTGGAACAGGGCTTTAGAAGCAGTTGCATAGGCCAATGCGTGCAATTATTGTCTGTATTATGTGATAAGTCACTATCTACACTGCTTCCTTTCAGAACCCACCAAAATGTGCGACGACGAGGAGACTACCGCCTTGGTGTGCGACAATGGTTCAGGACTTGTGAAGGCTGGCTTTGCCGGCGACGACGCCCCCAGGGCTGTCTTCCCCTCCATTGTCGGCCGCCCTCGTCACCAGGTGCGGAGAAAATCGACATCATAACACTCTCTGAGTGTAATCTACTACAAACATCTGCCAATTATACAGATATTTTCACTTAGTAAGCTTTACATAAATTGTTTTTATGTTCCTGACTCAAAACGCGCACCTTTCATCCCTACAGGGTGTCATGGTGGGTATGGGTCAGAAGGACTCCTACGTAGGAGATGAAGCTCAGAGCAAGAGGGGTATCCTCACTCTGAAGTACCCCATCGAGCACGGTATCATCACCAACTGGGACGACATGGAGAAGATCTGGCACCACACCTTCTACAACGAGCTCCGCGTGGCCCCCGAGGAGCACCCTACCCTGCTCACTGAGGCCCCACTGAACCCCAAGGCTAACCGCGAAAAGATGACCCAGATCATGTTTGAGACCTTCAACGTGCCAGCTATGTATGTGGCCATCCAGGCTGTGCTGTCCCTGTACGCTTCTGGCCGTACCACTGGTAAGAAGTCACGCGATGAAATGTGTCGATAAGGAGAAAATGTACAATAAGTAATGATAATTCAGATAGCTGAAACATACTTTATCACTAGGATTACTAAATTCCGCTATGTTTTACTGAAATATAATCTACTTTTCATTTTAAACTTTTAAAAATGAAGTCACGTGCTTTCGTCAGTGCTTCAAGGCGTCTGCTGTCCTACCTGATGTGCATTTTAAGCTCAGAAATGATTTCCGCTCTTAGGTATTGTGCTGGACTCTGGTGATGGTGTCACCCACAACGTCCCCATCTATGAGGGTTATGCCCTGCCCCACGCCATCATGCGTCTGGATCTGGCTGGTCGCGATCTGACTGATTACCTCATGAAGATCCTGACCGAGCGTGGCTACTCCTTCGTCACAACCGGTATGACTTATTCTAAGCAGAGGCTCTGACAGTTAAAGAATAGCAAATTAATCTAGCCAAAAAAGCGAAATACTGACCACATTTGTTTCCAAATTTAAGTGAGTATATTCAACGTTTACGTGCTTCTATTAAATGCATGTATAATAGTTTACTGATGATAAAACTCAATGAATGACGTCATATCTCGAAGTTCTGGGCTCTTAAAACATCTGATCAATATCTTGTCCATCACAGCTGAGCGTGAGATCGTGCGTGACATCAAGGAGAAGCTGTGCTATGTGGCCCTGGACTTCGAGAACGAGATGGCCACCGCCGCCTCCTCCTCCTCCCTGGAGAAGAGCTACGAGTTGCCCGACGGTCAGGTCATCACCATCGGCAACGAGCGTTTCCGTTGTCCCGAGACCCTCTTCCAGCCTTCCTTCATTGGTCAGTATACTGAGATCGGAATCCCACTGAGAGCATTTTGCTGTTTTTATATATTCCCACTAATTGCAAATCTCCGGCTTTAATCTGAACAGGTATGGAGTCCGCTGGTATTCATGAGACCGCCTACAACAGCATCATGAAGTGCGACATTGACATTAGGAAGGATCTGTACGCCAACAACGTCTTGTCCGGTGGTACCACAATGTACCCTGGTATTGCTGACCGCATGCAGAAGGAAATCACTGCCCTGGCTCCCAGCACAATGAAGATCAAGGTAACGCACATCTTCATGCTTAAGCTAAGGAGATAATCGATTGAGAGGGACAGGCTGATTTGCACCACAATCTATTGCTCACCTCTAATAAGTTATTTTTTATCTGCCCAGATCATTGCCCCACCTGAGCGTAAGTACTCCGTATGGATCGGCGGCTCCATCCTGGCCTCCCTGTCCACCTTCCAGCAGATGTGGATCACCAAGCAAGAGTACGACGAGGCAGGCCCCAGCATCGTCCACCGCAAATGCTTCTAAATCCGCGGTCTTGTCCTGCGTCTACCTGCCCAGGATCACGCTGTGGCGCCACATTGCTGTCATACTGCAGATGTGTACCAATGTATTTTTGCAACAGCGTGTTGGCCGACGATAATGCCAACGAAACACCAAGAACGAGAACAAACGAGCCATGTTATTAAACATGTGAATGTAAAATGTACATAAATATTAATTTATTAAAGTCCATCATTTGCTATTTTTGAGAAGGTTTTTTTTGTTAATCTGACGAAATGTTTGTCTTTCCTCATACATAAACGAAATATAAAGAACTCAACAAAGCCAGAACACACTGCCAGTAATTGTTAAGTGTCGGTGATTGTATTTAATAATGTTTATTTCTTGTAGAAGTAGTTTTATCATCGCTGCCAAAACCGCTTCGGATAATCCCTTGGGGGTGGTGGTGGGGGGTGGCTGTAGCCATTTCACCATTGAATGGGGCTTCAAGACTAAACAATCCATTCATCACAATACGCCATAGTTTTCTGCTAACAACATGTCAAATTAAGCAGAGGGTATAAACCAACTAGGTAAATTTCTACCCTTTAAATAAATATTTATTTTAATTGGTAATTATACACAAGTCTTTCTGGTATAAAGACAAAAACAAGTTAAAATGTTTTATAAACTAATTATATAGTTATATAAACCCTGACATTAATTGAACTAAATAATAAATCACACGATGAGAGTAAATGAACCCCAGACGCAAACCAGACGAAGTAACCTTAACAGTACCCACTGTTCATTTGGCTGCCAGCACCGATCGCTCTAACGTCATCAGCTAACTATATTTATACAGTAAAGCGGCACTGGCCGCCGCAGCTGCGTGTACAGTGGCGTAAAGCGATCCGGGCGCTGACTCCTGCGGAATGCGCGCCTCTTAGCGGTATGTCGGGGACCCGCTCCCGCTCCGTCTGCCCCCGCCTGTCACCTTTCTCAAGTCTCAGGCAAAACACGGTGACACCTTATACCGGTCTATCTGCACCTGTAGTCTTTCCGTACACATTCCGCAAAGTAATAAAAATAAAAGTCCGCAGCGCCAAACTACAAGTCGAGATATTGTCGCTTTATCAGTATCTACTTATTAAAAACAAACTTAACTAATGAAGACTTTCATTGCATATCATATAGTAAATAATTCATTTTATTAGTCTATCCTTTATTTAAACAGGAAGGTTCCACTGAGATACAAAATCTCTTTTTCTAGGTTGTCCTGTTCCGGATGGGCAGCAAAATAAATGTTTAACATAAAAGTGCAAACAGAAACAGATAACCACAAAAACACGCTAAAACAAATTTAAAGAATAACAGACTACATCTTGATATTAAACGAGCAACTGGTTTCATATTCTCACTATACGGTAGGCCTACATTTATTTTGTGAACTGGTTAACACGACCGCCTGTAAGCAGAGCCCAAGTTCAACATTTGAATTATTTTTGTCCTTTTGCATAAAATCGTATCCAGGGAGAACAGACCGCCCGTGTTTTAGGTGATCAAAGCCAGCACGTCTCGTTTTTAATCCATGTCATCCTTTAGTAGGTCGCTAAGTACTGTGTACTGTGTTATCGTTGTTACTTGGGTGCAAAACCGAGGCAGCGGGAAATATCGTACCGGCTCGGCTCTCCTAGCAGCGGGGATTTTGTGAATTAATCTCCCCAGCGTTAAATCTCGGGGCGGGGCGTAGCGGAGGTGACGTCAGCTCGCCATCTGCTCTGTGGAGCCCGTCCGGTAAGCAGCGTCTCTTATTTATACACTGATGTACAGTAATGCGAACGTAGCGTTTTATTCCTACCAAGTGCAAAGGAGTCGAATGGCTACTAAATCGCCCCTTAACTTCATAGTGTTGCATCGGTGCAACGGGAAAATCGCGTCGCAAAGGGGGGGGGAGGTTTCGTAAGCGAAGCTCGGCTGCGGTAAAACGTCGCGTTTAAAACGAGGAGAAGAATTAACGTGTCGCTGCAAGGTATTGGCATTACATGCAGGTGGCGTCGAACCATAATGTTAAAATGTAAATGTTAAAGTAAATGGATGCAGTTTGTGGCGTAGAATCGGTCCTAGCGCGTAGGATTATTTAGACGCCATTTCTGGGCATGTTTTGGGGGGGGCGGCGGTGCTGCTTCTACTTCCCCTATTGGTTTCCTATTGTGGTGGGGGCGAGTACGTCGCGGGAATGTTTTGGTTTAAATGTCTAGCGGGATAATGCATACACCGGGGGTTTTGTCCGATTCAGCTGCATGGTTCCATTTATCCAAGTTGTTAGCAAATGTACTTTAGGGAACTGTATCCCGGGCTGCAGACGTTCAGCTGGTTGGCGTGAGATTTTAAATTTGACGCAAGTCGAAAACATATTTACATGTATGTAAGAGTTTTATTTACTTGTAAATAGTCTGTATGATTTGCCGTAAGATATCTTGCGTGAGCGTGACAGTCTGAAAGCGTGAGTGTCCGCCAGATGCGTGGGAGATGGCGACCTTGCGATATTGCATAAAAGTTGACGCTGTCAAAATGTGACCTATATTATTTGATGTCCATTACAGGCGCCAAACGTAGGTTGGAGGGTTTAGTTCGTTGAAAGACAGGCATGGTGACAAAGAAGATTAGAAGTGAGTATATGAAGAAGTTCAAGGACCCGAAATGGGACACCTACGCAAAGTGTTACGAGGACTCACTGAAATACAGACTCACCAGGAGGCTTTTGGAGCAGAGCCACCGGCCCTGGTTTTGGGGGGGCTGGGAAAGTGACTCTGATTCCAGTGACAGGTCCTCGCCACAGAGCAGGAAGAAAATGTTGCCGAAGACTAAAGAGGAGATGCCGCCGGGTTCGGAACCGGAGGCTCTGGCACCACAAAAGCCAGAGAACCAGCCGGGAGAGGTGACAGAACCGCAGGTTTGCGCCCCTGAAAAAGGCGAACAGGCTGAGACTGAGAAGATCCCTCAGAGAGGTTTGTACTTTTTTCCGTGATACATGAAGGATTCGGTACATTTCCTGTTCTACTGAAATATTGTAGCAGTATTGCATGTAATTAAGTGCAGGTACAACAAGCTGTGTCACTGTGTCGTGATTTCAGCTGTACAAGCCACTGTGAACAAGGATCCGATGAAAAGACATGAGCTAGATCTTATCGGGAAAGAGGGCCTTCAAGCTGCCCGCCTAGACGGCCAGGGTGCAGTCCCACCCCGTCGGCTGCGAAAGTCGACTAGGGCCAAGAGCCAGCCCCGGGGGGTGACGGAGCCCGACAAGGAGAACCGGCACCCGTTTGCCTTGTACGGCAGCGGGGAGAAGCAGGCCGAGATGGCAGCCAAGAGGACCCACAACGTTGGGCCGTGCACCTCCACCAGCGAGGTGAGGCTTTACACGTCAGCAGCTGCCGTTTGGTTCTGGAACCACTTGAGGGTCACGTTGGTGTCATGTCTTACATTTGGCCCATGAGACTCATGTTTTTTTGCCTTTGCTGCTGTCCCACAGATTGTGAGGCACTTAAACCAAACAAAAAAAGTTTACTTCTGTACATGAATGACCTGCTGCAAAGGGGTATCTGAGATACTCCTCCCTGGATTTTTTTCCGTGCTATAAAGGTTTATGTCGGGGGGGGGGGGTCTCTGCTGTGATCCCAGGTAGTCGAGTAGTTTTGCAAAGTGGCTGAGACAAGTCAAGCAGATGTGTTTTGTAAGGTGTGTTTACGAGACGTCACAGTCCCGGCGTCCGGGATTCATGATATCAAATGCACCTGATGATCAAACTTCACTCAGATGATGAAAAGGTCCATTCAAGGTCTATACATTGGTTTACTGGATATCTGAAAGTGCTATTTTTGTAATAATTATAATAATAAAAGCAAAGCATATGAACATAAGGAGTATTTTTTGATGGCTCACAGTTTTCACCGAAATGTGCAAGTCACCTACCTCCCTGTTTCCACTGCAGATCGGTTGACGTACATGAAGTAATTTGTTAATGGGATGCGACCTCAGGATTTTGTAATCAGCATTATAGGCTGGCATGATGCTTGCCTCGGGAACGAGGTGCATGAATCTTCCTGAGTGCAATGGCCTATAGCATAGTGTCCTTGCTGGTTGTCACGTTTACATATGTTTCTCCTCAGATTCATGCATCGGCTTTACGCGCCAAGACCAGGCGGGAGGTAGAGAAGCAGCTGAAGGCCCAGGGCAGGCGCAGAGCCCGGTCAGCCGACGTGGAGGAGAGGCACCACACCAAGCTGCTCCCTGACTATGACCCCTGGATGACTGAGTACATGCGCTGCTTCTCAGCTCGGTCGCGGTAGGACAGAACGCGAGGGGGCGGGTACACATCAGCTGGAAGCCTCTCTGACCAATCAGAGGCTTGGATTCCTGGCCTCTGGTACGCTGGCAGCTGACAATTTGTGATCTTTTAAAACGTGACTGGGGCGATCGGGGTGTCTCACCTCTGTTACCCATTTCCCTTTTTGACCATTCCAAAGTTTGTTGCTGTCAAAACAGACAACAAATCTGTGTTTTTAAGCAGAAACACCAGACAGTCACAACAGAACCCACACAGCAATATTACAAACGCATTCATTTCAGCATGATAAGAAACCTTTTAAAAGTTTTTCCATTTTATTATAAACATTGGTATTCTTATGTGGGGAGTTTGTATGCCTGAGTTTTGAAATTAAATTTTTTTCTAAAATGTTACTCTCAGGATGAAAATATAAAAAATGTTCCTTGATTTATGTAGATGACTGAAATTGCACAACACTTCATCTATTACTGACCGCGTTCAGAAAATAGTATGATTTAGACAAAACATGTCTGTATTACCTAAATCAGAGGACTAAACATTCCTTGAAGGCATTCAACGTATCCATCCATCCATCCATCCATCCGTCCATGCAGGTGGCCACCTTCTGTAAGCGCTTATCCAGTACAGTGCCGGCTTGTGTCCGTGGAGCGTATCCCAGGCAGCGTGGGACAGGAGGCCTGTCTGCTAGCTTGCGTTTGACACAATGTGTTTATCACACACCTTTACCAGCTAATGAATTACAGATATTGCGTCAATAAACTTACCAAGTTAGAGATAGCGGGAGCTTGGGTGCCCTTAGTGGGACCTTCGCTTACTGTAACAGTCGGGGCTGATATTCATTGACATTCATTGACATTCATTGGCACGTTTCTGTCCTTCAATTGTGTTTGATACAGACCAGGAGGCTTTTTATTCAGTGATTGTTGATATTTTTCTGTACAAAAAAGTTATTAATCTGAGGTTCTCTGATTCCATATTTTTAAAATTTTGAAAAAAGTAGAATGTATTTTGTGAATTTATGGTGTATTTATTGTATTTGTGGTTAATGCACTGTGCTAATGTAACTGAATGTTCCCCACGTTACCCTTCTTTGTTTTCTTTTCGACAGAAATGTCCTTATTTTGCTGTGACTTACCAACTGCAAGCAGAAAAGTGTTGAGTCGAGTTTACCTGCCCAGTGCAGTAGCTGTTTCTCAGAAGTTAAACTATTATTAGCATATATAGCTCTGGAAAACATTAACAGACCACTTTATATATTTTTTTAAATCTGCATTTTTAAATCCTGGTTTAATCCTGGTTCTGCTGGCAGAAGGCTACACTGTGAGACAGGCTGCTGTTTCTAAGACAGCACTGCACAAGAACGAAGTGAAGCAGGAGACACTGCGGACGACCAGAAACCAGCCTGCTAGAGGGCGGAAGCGACTTTCTAATGTCAGAGATGACCGTCAACTTATACAACAGTGCCTCATAAATCAGAGGGTGACGTCAGGTGACCTTCTGAAAGAATGGGAAACATTAAGTGGTGTGAAGTGCACTGCTAGGACAGTTCATATGAGGCTCCTAGTCCCATAAAGCCAGGAAGAAGCCCTTCATCAAGCAGCCAAGAGCCAGGCTGCAGTTTTACTCAGACACATACCGTAAATTGAGAAATGAGTGAAACAGAAAATTTTGCTGTGGTAATTTTTTCCAGAGCTGTATTTCTGGTACAAGGGGCATCTGGCAGCATTCTGTGCAGTTAGTCGTTAGTACAGTATTTCAGTCTAAACGTGTCGTAGCAGAAAGCCATGGAAAGTCTAAATCAATCCTAAAGGCTGCCAGATTTCGTCGGAGTGCTGCTCTCTCGGGTTTTCAAATTTCACATTACTGAGGCTGAAATAATGATTTGCTGAGCCTTCTCAAGCTTGATGCTGAATTTCATCCCTTTTTGTAAAATTGATGGCGTATCATTTTTGAAGATGTTAAAAGGTTTATTTCTGTGTATAACTGGATACCTCAGCCAAATTACCTGGTTTTACCACTTTACCTACTTTAATGTTTAATGCTGTTATTTTAACTTTTTCGCAGGCAATTTTGTGTTTGTATTTTAAATTCCCGTATTCCTGTCATTAAGTGTTTTTAATTATTATTTACGTCAAAGACTGAAAATGATTGTTTGACCTCAAAGGAAAAAAAAATATATATAATACTTTAGATATTACAGTGGGTGACAATCGTATATTCTAGATTATATTTTGGGAATGATTTCTAGGTGGATGTTTGTACGATACGAAGCTTTTCTCTGCTTAGAAACTGAACGTGCTGTAGTCTGTGTAACAGAAGAAACACGTCGTCACGTGACATAATACACCAGCACCTACTCCACACCAGCGTAATCGATTAAAAAAAATAGCCTGTGATTTTACACCGTTAGGCAACAGTCATTCCAATATACTGCTTCTTAAACACCCTTCTTTCATGGGAATGCTCAGAAGTATCTGATTCCCTCTATATGTACTGCAAACTCAGAAGATATTAACCACATTCTTGTAATGCAATGAATGGTTGTATTTCTAAATGGCATCTGTGAGTGGGCATCTGTGAGTGGGCATGTGAAAGAGCAGGACGCTCATAGCACGGGGACAATGGGTGGCGAGCCGGAATGCTAAAGGCGCGCCACATATTGTGGTGAAGGGTGTTTATAAAGACGTTTCGGAAGCCTGGCAGCCGGACAAGGCTGAGAGTGTGCTAAGCGATGCCAGTGGCACGCTGGCATGGAGGGGGCTGCATTTGTGCCCGTAACGCCCAGGAATGGCTGCATGTGTGCGCAGTATTCAGCCAGGCCCAGTATGCTTCATTATCGATTGCGGGAGTAATGTCAGTGTTTACATTTTTGACTTAAACATTCTGTACAGGGATTGTTTTGGCAAGTGGCATGGAAAACAGAAAAATGTTTGAAATAAATCACATTCCAGCTGTATTTTGCGTCTTGTTCTTTGAATATGAGCTTGTGTAAAACAGATCCGTATTTTTAAAGGCTCCAGATATTTATTGTATTTCCAGAAGGTGCAGCGGCGTGGGAAGGAGCCCAATATTAATCACAGCTGATGCTATATACAGACTTTGGCAAGTCGCATAAAATCCAGAGACCAGTTTGCCATCTTTGGTGCCATTCCGTGTCTCAATGCGCATTAATTCCTGACAATTTTTTTGAGCTGAAAATGAAAAGAAGTGTGGAACAATGTTCCTGTCTGAGGGTTTATCGATTTCTCCAGCGCTTCACCATGGTAAGCATTGGTCCAGCCTGCTATGTCAACACAACCAAATAATCCCCAGCTTGCAAGGGCAGACTCGACGCCCGGATGACAAAAAAAACCTCCCAGTGTTATTTTTTGCCTGCGACAAGTCGCCTAATCTGCCCTTGGGGAAGAAGCCATGGATGTGGATTCCATGGCGGAGGGAGGTGGCCAGTAGAAAGGACACAGGAACGAGGTCCCATCAACCAAAGCGGGTTTTTACTGAAATCCCACAAACTCTCTGCAAATATGTTAAACTGTAAAACCAAAGCACTTCATTTAACTGTTCAGCCATCAAAGAACCTAATGCCGATTTTACAAATAAAAGTTTTTTTTAAATCCTTCAATCGAAAACAAAAGCATAAGTTAAGGGAAACAAAGTCTGAAGTTGTTCAAAGGAGGTTCATAATCGGTGTTCCCTGGAAATCAGTAGCAGTAAACCTGCACAATTATGTTAACTAAGACTTAAGGTCAGTCCTTTGGTTATTTTAAGAACAAAGAAAGCAAACCGGATCAAATCAAACTTTGTTTTTATTTAAAAAAAGACACTATTTACGAATATAAATTAACAAAGCATGAGTAACTGTCATGCCATTCAAAACAAACAAAGCTTGATAATCTGCAAAATAATCCTGACGAGTGCAACCAGCTTGTGTTACGAAGACACTACTGATTAAAAAGCCCATTGCATGACAGAACAGATTTAAGTCAAGGTAAGTAGTTCAAAATGACATTGTGTTAGACTCTACCAATGTAAAGCAGTCATTCAGTTCATAAAACATGCTTTGTCTGATACAATAGAATCCATATTTATACAAGAAATACATGATGCAGGAGGTCAGGATGGCATGGCAACGCCAGTCTGAAGGGTTAAGGGTGGGGGCCGCATCCTCCACTAGAAAGCTTCCGGGTCAGGCTAGGCCAAGGTTCTGCGACCCTCTGGGGTCTCAATCCTAATGCCCCCCAGCGACGACTCTTTATGGAAATGAAAGGAAAGTCAGGCAGGAGTCTGTCTCTCACTCCCCGCTGGGATGGCCAAGGGACGCACAATCGCTCCACCCGCTCTCCTCTCTGTACAGGCGCCTGCGAAGGGGAACAGAAGGGAAGATGGGGGGCATGCAGGCCCTCTGCCCCTCCCCCCCAGCACGCTCTGGCTCTGGCTCTGGCTCCGGCACCTTTACTCGGCAGGGGTGGATTCCAGGAGCTGTCCCGACCTTTGCTTCCCTGAAAATCTTTCCTTATCTATTTGCGTCGCTGGCATCCGGCACGAAATGCAGCCGGACCCAAATATGGCCGGTCAGTGGAGCCTGACGCCCCGGGCAAGGAGCCGCTCGCGATATCCACGGTTAAATATAACCGCCCATCCGCGCCGTGCCCATCCCGCCCCGGGCTGTCCTGCTCGGGTGAGCAGAGAGGGACCCTGTCACCAAGGATGGTGCTTTATCTGGGGCTGCTGTGTCACCTCCGGCTGAGGAGGGGCGGAGCCTGCGGGACCCTCAAGGGCACAGTGGGGGAGGAGCTCCCTGGCTCCACCCCCAGTCCTCAGCCCTCCAATCACAGCTCCTCATTGCCTGTCTACAGGGCTCAGTGACAGTTACAGCCCAGAAGGCGTTACTACTAGGGGGTCCTGCTATACAACCCTACGGCCCGATTGCTCACCCTGAATCCACCCCATGAAAAAGTCAAAATTAAGGTAAAACACACATCGACCAAGTAACAAAATGATATTCATGTTAAACTACATCACCTTACTTATAATACATGGTTCCCAAAGTAGGGGATCACAAGATCACTGTAAATTGTTTCTAACAATTTCCATTTTAACTGCAATCGGATGATAGCAATCCACGCCCCCACCCCTGGATCGGTGAAATGTACCAAGAGGGACCCCCCAGGTCAGAAAAATGAGGGCTGTGAAGTTTGGAAACCCATGTACTAATCCATAGGTAGATCTGGAACTGAGGGGGTTTGGGCCAGGCCTTGAACAGCTTGGGAAGCCGCGGGAGGGTATATAGGGGGCCCTAATTAATGCGGGAGGGTGACGACTGCCTGTCCCCAAGGACGTGGAGCTGGTGCGTGGTCACAGACGCGAGGTCACAAACACGAAGTCACAGACGCATCATCACAGACACGAGGTCACAGACGCGACGTCCCAGACACGAGGTCACAGATGCGTCGTCACAGACACGAGATCACAGATGCGTCGTCACAGATGCGTCATCACAGACACGAGGTCACAGATGCGTCGTCACAGACACGAGGTCACAGACGCGACACATGCGCCTGCCGCACACTCCGGTGTGTGCATAACCAACGCCTTCCTTATGACTTATGGGCTTTTGTGCTCTTTCCACTAAGTGCTTCACAGATCTTCCCCCCCCCATCACAGCAATTAAAAGATTCAGAATAATTCTCCTGCATTGCAGAGCACATTGTTAGTCTGCCAGTCAGCCTGGCCCACTCAGAAAGCGGCACACCCCTCGCTATGCGATGCTTCCCATAGCATTTATTACATAATTTAGTCACTGAGACCCAATGGGACCCAAGGCGGACTGTACAGGACGCAGCGTGATCAAGTGAGAATAAGACCGGAACTCCCCTCCTATGGAGACGGTCTACACATGTAAGGCCCTGTAACTCTACCTGTGGTGGTGACAGCGGACGGCTGTTCGCGTGTCGCGGAAGGCTCACCTGGGCCCGGAGGTCACGCCGTCTCTCCAGCGCCGCCATTAGCAACCGCACTCCTGCGCGCTCTGGGCCTGAGCCCGGCGGGGGGAGCGCAGCTGCCGCAGGGCGGCGTCCCCGTACTGGATACCCGAGCCCATCCTCTCCGGGTCCAGCTCCCCTGGTGGGCGATCAGAGCGGGAGTCAGCTGCCGGTTAGCCTGTCGGTTAGCACTGGGGCTACATGTCCCCCCCATTGTGGGGTGGTGGGGGGGGGGGGCGGTCAGCAGCGCACTCTCGTTGTCCCTTCACAGACACAAGTAACCCCCCCCCATTGGGGGGGGGGGGGGGGGGGGGGGAACATTCCATTTGTGGATATTCCACAAAGCAGGATTTCTTCATGAGTCACATAACTTAAGCCAAATGCAACAATTGTCCATTAGGAATGTCACTCATCTCTGTTTCAACTGGAAAGTTTTCATGTTTGGCTTAAGTTAGCCAGCTAACTGGGAAATCTGGTTTGTGGAATACCCTCCTGGAATCAAGTACAGTAATCAAAGTTGCACTTACAGCACTCCCTGCTGGCAGCCAGCTTCCACTCCACCAGAATGTTCACAAACGCCCATGTGTACCAGAACCAAGGCATGAATACTGGGAATCCACTCCCTTTGACACACCCACTTTAGCCATAATCAGATGCATGTACACTGACGAAAGCCACTGCGAGGACCCCACAGAAATGTAGAGTGAAACCACAACCCCCCCCCGTGCTGACCTGATTCTATCTTGTTGAGGATCTTTCTGGCACACTGTGTGAAGGCCTCTTCCACGTTCTCCCCAGTCAAGGCGCTGGTCTCCAGGAACATCAGCTCTGGAAGCCAACAAGCAGAGATCCAGATCCAGCTAAATGACATCATAAACACGTCCAGACAAACCCACATCTGCTAACTGCACAGTACGGCAAATCGCGGTTATGTAACCCTGTTCAGAGCAGGGTATTACCAGCCTCTTAGAGGAATCCAGCAGCGGCCTCTAGTGGTCTAACTATGGTATTGTGGCAAATGGTCTATTGATTTTTACAGACCAAAAAAAATGACTGATCTATAATAATATCATAAAAACGTCATCGGCATTAAAAGTAAAATACCTCTAAAAATACTTTAAATCAATGCACTTCAAAAGTCTATTGTGTTTTCCAAACACCACGTATCATTTTATTTTTGTATTATTTTAATGCTTCCATCCAAACCAAGCTGGGGCTCATTGTGCTACGCTACACTTAAATTTGTTAGCCACCACGCCACCTGCTGTCCTTACTGATAACACTAGCACAACTACCCATCATTACGAGGTTTAAACCTGCCCCATAAGCCCTTTGCCTCTCCACTTTCACATTTAGCTGTCTAGCCTGAACGTCCGGCTAATAACCAGTCTGAAGCTCTGCTCATTCAGGACTGTTTCTGAAGCTCTGCTCATTCAGGACTGTTTCTGAAGCTCTGCTCATTCAGGACTGTTTCTGAAGCTCTGCTCATTCAGGACTGTTTCTGAAGCTCTGCTCATTCAGGACTGTTTCTGCTCAGAATAAAGGAGCGCAAGCAGAACGTATCACCAGACAGCAGAAAGGGGAAAATAACCAAGTCTGCCATTTAATCAATCAAATAGCACCCAGCTCACGCTAAAGCCTCTTCAAACTCATCTCTAACGCAGACCAGACCGGAATGGATCCTGCTGCAGTACACAGAGGCGTCAGCAGGTGGCGCAGTGGCCAAAGAACCGAACCTGCCCTGAATGGACAGGCGGCCAAATCCTGCCTTTAACCCCCCAAATCAGGTAACTCAAGCCAAATGTAGCGGATTTAACTGAGTCTGCTGAAAGGATGATGACGTCACACTGGATTAAGCAGTTTAATGAATAAACGCTGCCAGCTAGAATTGCAGAAAACAGAACAGAGGAAGCGACAGCCCCAAACACGTAAACAAACAGAGAAGGACCCGGAGGGGTCGGCCAGGACGTGCCCGCTC